CTGCTTCAGTAGACGTAACCTAAAAATGTTAAATCATTACAGGACACGGGTCACCAATCACTAAATTTCCTTAAGGATAAAAATTTTTCAATAAAGTATTTTTTAATCAGATTTTCATAAAAAAATATTGGTAAATATATTTTATAATGGGTAAAGGTAAAGTTCAGGGTGATCACCTCAAAAATCTATAAAATTATATTCATTCGACGCGTTTTTGCATAAAACGAAAGAATCTGGCAGAAAAAAACGTCGCTCTGCCTCGCGAACCGAGATATTAATCGAGTCGACAGATCGTGAAAAGAGGTTATAGCGGAAAAGAAGAACAGAATGTAAAATCTGAATGCTGATTGGTAGGCTATAACAGGCTATAAGGCGATAGACACAGAATTCCAACTCGTCGGAAATTTATCGCTATCGCTATCGCTATCGTTATTCCATGTTCCTATGTGCATTGACATATTCCTGTATGTTGGATTCCTCTGTTCCTATCGCTATGTCTATCGCTATCGCTATGTCTATCGCTATCGCTATTGCCTCGCATTGTGTTTAGGCCTTAAGTGTAACATCGTAATTACTAGCTAGTCTCTGGACAGATTTTTTTATGTCAAGAAATCTGTCTAGTGGCTACCCAGTAAATAGGATGTAGGTGTAATGTCGTAATTACTAGGCAGTCACTAGACAGATTTAGGGCCTCTTTCACCAACCTCCGATTAAGCTAATCGACGATTACGGTAGTTCCAACGTAATCAAACGAATCGGTCGTTTCGATTGTAACAGAGCACCTTAACCTAATATTTCTGTCGTGTTATTTTAGGCAAAGTGTAAATGGAAATTATTAAAAAGTCGATTTAAATAAAATTTTTAAGATATATATTCAACGTGAGAAAATTACATTACGTATTGATGTAAAAATAGTGCTTCATGTAAAAATGGACGAAGTTATTAATTTTTTACTTTTTAATGAATATAATGATATAAACTTAAATAATGTTGAAAGAAATGAAAGAAGGCCACGTATAATCAGACCAAGAATTAATTATATGGAAATATTTGATGAAATAGATTTCCGAAAAAGGTTTAGAATATCTAAAAATAATTTTATGACGGTATTAGAAAGAATTGAAGATGAAATTCGTCATAAATCTGATCGGTACGTATGAATTATATACTGAGAGTATAGATATAAATACATTTTTATATTAGCAATATTTTATAGTAATAATGTTTTCAGTATGGGACAGTGGGGAGTTTTGAAGCATGGGGAGTTGCGAAGCATCTCATTACACTATCCAATAACTCCACCAGAACACCTTTACAATGAGGCTCAAATTAGAACTCGCTCAATAGTTGAACGATTTTTTGGAATTTGGAAAGAGAGATTTGCAGTTTTATCAATTGGAATGCGTTTTCAAACAATTGAAAAAGTACTTCCCATTATTATGGCGACAGCTGTATTACATAATATTGTCCAACAGAATATTCAACAAGATCGAATTGATCCCCATGCATACAATAATACTGTTGCAGTAATGCAAAATATAGATAATAGGAATGTCCATGATAAACGACGAGTAATTGTGGAATATTTTGGAAGGTAATGTTAATATAGAAACGAATCGTAAAAAATATATGTCAACAATATTAAAGAATTTATTTTAAAAATTACAGATTGATTTGAACACTATTATTAACATCGGAATCAAAAGGCTTGAGCAATCCATATGTTGCATCTATTATTTATTTGGCACGTTCATGAAAAGCATTGTTTTTGTTATTTCTCTGCCGACAAATGTAATAAAACCCTCAATAATTAGTTTCTTTATTATGTTATTGATAAAATAATTATGATTATTTGAAATATATAATTAAAAATATTTGAATGTAATATTATGGTGATATACATTCTATTTCAC